GAGCATAAATTAAATTATGTACCTCCATATGGGCGTTGTATATACCTTTATAATTATTAATATCAATTGTACACAGATATTATTAAATCACTCATACTAGTTGAGAAGACTACTTGAATATTATATGGTCTAATCATACAATCAATATTATTTTTGCAGACATATCTTTGATATTCGATGTCATATTTTCATGCATATACATTTTTACCGCATTTTCCAATTTGTTCTTATTATCCTTTCTATTAAACTCGTGCCAATTAGATTTTATTCTTCTTAAACAACCATGTTTATTTATTATAACATCGTTATTTGTATTTCATTTGTTTCTTTTGTATTCCTAATTAACCAAAACAAATCAAAATATGTTTTGTTGTGAATCAGCAAAATTTTAATTAACAAACTAAGATACTCAACAAAACATAAACAACTAAACAAGACCAATGTCGAACCGTATAAATATTTTATATTAATTGATATATTATCACATCATCACAACATATTTGACTTGAATATTTAACAAAATATTTATTACCGTTTCCTTTAAAATTGTGCCAACAAAATATCATTATTATTAGATCTCCATGTTTATTTATTGTTGCTCGGTGCATTGTAATATTATGTGATATTTTTGATGTGACATTACTGTTAAAAATCAGGATATTAGAATTTGGTTTTAATTATGGGTTAATGTACTTACTTTTTGATTGATGTGATTGATATTTTGATGATATCTCTTATTGTGATATTTAATGTCGTTATTAATGTACAACTTTTGTTAAAGTGTTGATCAAATAAATGATACTGTTTATGTAGATATTTATACAATATTAATAGAATTCATAGAAGAAGACATTTATTTTGATGAAACACGATCCGTTTCCCACTAGTTTAAAAAATTCGTACTTATCAAATGTCTCAAATGCTTAATTTACCTATATAGAAATTTACATGAATATGAACCGTTTACATTTAAATATAAGTAATACTTAACATTAAATGATTAATACAACCATCATTAATTTACAAAACTATTAAAAACCAGATTCAGATAACAACGCTGACTTTTATTAATAATTAATAGAACATTATCTAAGCAATTGTAATACAAAAAAAAAAAATTGTTGGCTACCTGCACGCGAACTATATAAACCATTTATACCATATCGACAACATAATTTTCATATACTTGCACCCAAAAAACAGCATCAAAACATCATGATTCCCTACAAAAAAAACAACCCACATGTCTGTTACAATTACCATCAGAAATTCTACAATGAATCATTGTAAAAGAAATCGACAAAGATGACACTGCTTTACAAGCAATATAGTTAACGTAAGTTTTACTAAAACCATCGCATTCATTAATCTAGTGATTTCATTATTTTCTTAGTCATACAGAAAATGATATTATACAAAATGATTAAACATACAACTAATAACAATAAGATAGTGGTTTATTCCGCAGTAGTCTTATAAGAATAATGGTTAACCACACAAATAACTCTGCTGACCATGTGCATGTTTAGTTATTAATAGTTTTCTAATGCGCACAAAAATAAAAATGTGTTTTAGGATCCATATTTAATTGAGTCATATTTAGCACACTTATTTATTCTTAATTGCTTAATCATAAGGTAATGGTATTGTGATTACCAACTATGGATTTTTTTTTTTAACTATTACGAATCTTGTGCTTCAAAACCATTACTTACCATACAATTTATAGGTGCAAATCTCTGAACAAACAAGCAAACATAAAACAAATATTACAAAGAATGGACATTTCAAAACAATGACAACAGTGAGACTTTCAATTCTGAAGACACTTGCAAAAGCAGAAAATAAAAAAGCTTTGCTACTGCTAGGAACACATTTGTTCTTCATCGAACATGATACATATATGGGATTACAACTATTGATTGTAGTTTGCCAAAAATATAACATGCAAGCAATATATCACACTGTCATTGCTCTGCTTTCTGTACATGACAATAGAGGTATACAAATTCTAATGAAATTAGTAAAACTACCTAATCATTTCTACAAACTGAAATATTGCAGGGAAGAATTCAAGTCCCTGGCTCCAACTGCCACAATTCTCATTAAAAGACGAATATTTGGGACCTACAACAAGGAGAATCAAAATCGTATACACTGAGACATATCAACATCACTAGAAAATATCATATGTCATAGATGTAACGTGGATTACTAAATAGTCTGTATGAAATTTTATTTTTTAGTAAGTTTCTTATGCCATTTCTTGCACATGTACAAATTTAAATGCTTTTTAGTTTAATCTAAAAATAAAAGTTAAAACTCACTCAATTATCTACGATTGATCCAAATATTTAATAACTTATAAAGAAAAATTGATCACAAAATTACAATGATCGGTAAAACGTAAACAATATTTAATAAAAATATTAAACACCAATTATTATGATAATTTCAAATAATTAAACACGTTCGACAAACAACAATGTAAATACTGTTCCTATAACATATAAAAAAAATTTCATTCCATTATTCATTAGATTAAATTCTACACCGAACCACAACATATTTTGGAAACCCGCATGCTGAACCATTGTTAACTATTTATTACGCTTTCCTTTAATGCGCTACAAACAATTTTGCTAATGTTTCGTATCTCATCGCCCAATAAGTTGTCAACACTTTTTCAATCAACGTGTCTATCTGTTACTAAATGTCTATTAATTTTCCCGGAGCAGCTTTTATATTGTGTGATAAAGTACCCCAGAAATTGATTAGGTTGGCATGTTCTCAACTACATCCCAGAAACTTTGAATAAACATAGCAAAAAATCTCACATAAAAGATGAGTTCAAATTTATTCTGTCTGTTTGTTTCCTATTTCTATTTAGATAAAACAAGTCAAGATATATTCTAATGTGAAGTAACAAAATTTTAATTACAAGACTAAAATACTAGATAAAACATAAACAATATTTAATATTTTAATAGATATTTAATAAAAATATTAGACAAAACTATTTATAAAAATGTTAAAAAATTAAGCATATTCAACATCAGAATTTGTGACAAGAATGGACCTAATTTGGGGGAAAAACAAAGGATGAAACTTGAAGAGAAGAAAGTAAACTTTTTATTGAATTATCGTTATAGTAAAGGAGAGATTTTCTTTTTATATACAGTGTTTTTAGTTGAGAACGAAGAACAATCTCCTAAAGAATCTTAAACATAAAACGACGTCACTTTTGGCTAATGTTACTAAAGTCCAAACACTTAGCAACTTTACAATTTCAACCTCTTTGGTTAACATCTCCCCTCAAACTAAACTGGTTCTAACACTTAGCCACTTTTACCCTTATTGGTTAACATCTCCCCTCAGACCAAAAACTAGTCCTAATATTTGGAGGGAGGAAGGGTATTACACACTGCATGTAATACTTGCAGATGGCTTGTATAAGTCTAAATTGTATCGGCAATTTGTGAAGCAACAACAGTACTCGGAGCATCTGCAGCAGCTTGAGAAGACAAACTAAGGAAATACCAAGAGAATAAACTCCACATATTCCATTATATCAATTGAAGAACTAGAGCAGTAGTCTTGAAAGGAAGCAAGACCACAAGTAACCATACGCCATTCCAACCATACTCATACCAAAGCCACTTGTACCAGTTTAATAAATAGAGCAGTAGTCTTTTCTTTAGCCAAAAAAAAAAATAAAAAAAAAATAAAAAATAAAAAATAAGGAGTAACTAAACAATCAACCATGCAAATTTCCAACCACACTCATACCAAGGCTACTGTACCAATTTAAGAAACAGAGCAGTAGTCTTTTCTGCAGCTTGAAAAAGGAGCAAAGCAATAATCAACCATGCATATTTTCCAACCACACTCATGTCAAAGTTATTGGTGCAGTAACTGTCAGTTTTTGTCGCAATTTAGCAAATTGAGCAGCGAAAAGTGGCTTGGTCAGTAGGTCTACGATCTGTAGCTTAGATGTTAACATATTGCACAATCAATTTTTTTTGGCTAAAACTTGTTCCCTAATGAAATGAGTGTAAATTTCAATATGTTTTGTTCTTGCATGAAAGACCGGATTAGATGCTAGGGACCCTGCACTCACATTGTCACACCAAATAATGGAATCTGTGTGAAATGTAATGCCTAGTTTAGAAACATACTCCGCAACTAGGCTATTTCTGTGGCAGTTTAGATAAGAGCTCTATATTCAGCTTCCGTAGAAGATAAAGCAACCACTTTTTGCTTTTGTGAGCTCTATTGGATTAAGTTTGGACCCAAGTAAACATAATTACAAGAATCTCGGCTTATCACAACAAAATAATTTGTCATTAGAAATATCAAAATTGTGACCATTTCGCTAATGTGACGAATTATATTAGTCATCAAGTTGGTCATATTAAGCTCGTACTCTTAAGTATATGGTGACGAAAGAGCGTTTGGTCACCATAGCCTAATTATTTATTGTGACAATAATAATTTGTCACTTTAAACCAGTTTATTGTGATAAATTATTTGTAACAATAGAAGACATTTTTTATCATTACAAATAATAGTTTGTCACAATTGATTTATATTTAAAGACTAAATGATAAGCTTTATGGTGAGAAATAACATATTATGACAAAATTGATTTTGCCAAAATTGTAAATACTGACTAAATTATTTGTTCATAATTTTAATAGTGACAGAAATTTATTTGTCATTGACTTTATTGTGACAACATTTAGTTTGTCGCATATTTGTTTATATGACAATATTATTTATCAAAATTTGTATAGTGACGGAAACAATTTTGTAAAAATTTTAATAGCATTACAAATAATTTTTATACAAATATTTTTACATGAGTTTTTTTTTTGTCAAAATAATATAGGGATGACAAATATTGTTTGTCATCTCAATAATGATAAAAATATTCATGTCTATACTTTACATCATATATAATACTGAAATAGGAAAAAAAAAAAAAAAAAGATGAAGGGTTAGTAAAAGGAAGTAGAATGGAGGTAATTGCAGCCATCATTCTTTACATCATATATAATACCACTTTACGTCATATACAATACCTAAATGATTGGAAAATTAACTAACAATAATTAATACTTTCCAATCATTCAAAAAAGAAAATCTACCAACAAAAATCATCTTCAATTCCCATATGTACTAGGCCATCAGATCATTCTCCCTTAAAAATGCATCAGAGGGAAAACCACACCTTTAATATAAACAACTATTGTTGGAGACACCCCCATGCATGAAACAGCTGCTATATTTGCTCTCAAGGTGACGCATGCTAGTGACGACCAGTCTTGGAAACAACCTTGTCCTTCAACACCAGCTTCATGGTGATTGGAAGATCATTAGGTATCTTAAGGACCATCAGGCACAACCCTGTTCCAATTATTAATATCTTTTAGAGCAGGAAATTGCAAAAATAATCCACTTTAAGATGAACTATATAGGTATAACAATAGGCAAAATTGGGTGGCAGAACATGAGCAAGTATGAAATGTAATTTGGCTTCAATTGGTGTACATTTAATAAATTAGTACATGCAAAATATCAAGTTCATATCAGGGATTTTGTTACGTCTAATGGCCCTGAATAAAAAACCTTCTTGTTGTATAGTCCCCATAGTATATATATATGGCTAATCACCAGTTAAAGCCCGTGGTCTATGCTCAATGGTAGAAAGATACATCCCAGTATGTGAAACCGCTCTTACAAATGCCATATTCGCAGTCAAAGTTGGACCATAAGCCGCTGGCCACACAATAAAAAAGTAAAACTACATTTAATTAATTACATTGAAACTTGAAAAAGTGTTAGACTCATACTAGTCAACAAAGTAAAAGGAAATGCATCCTTGCTCTATTGATCAACATGGCAACCAATCAAGATTTCCAAAGAACTTATTCGATTCAAAGAAAAAAACACTAATGAAATGCTTAGGGGGAAAGAGATCAAAAGGGTCCAATACTATTTTTGCTCAAGGTTCAAGAATTAATGAAATATGCCTTAGAAGATTAAATCTTCCCCTTCCCAATTTACATTTGCAACTAACACACATAAACACACTATAATAACAATATACCAAACACCAAATTAGAAGCAAAAACAGAAAATTTTAAATTAAAATATACAGAAAAGAGAAATAAGAAATACTGAAAAGTATATCATGTTTAGAAATTCAATTTCATTAAAAGTTCTACATTTAATTTTATAAATTTGGCATTCAGCAAACACTCTGAGTTACCAAAACAATAGTGACTTTGTAAGGTGTAGATCATATTGCGCATATAATTTCCTTTACCATGTTCTTCAGAGTACATACAAGATTAATAAGACAACAAATGTAAAAAACTTTCAAAAAAATAAACACAACCCAATACCCATCAAAGGAATTGTCTAATAAGCAACTTTAATGATAATACTAAACAAAGCACACAAAATGAAACAAATCCAGCAAGGGTTTTGGTTAAAATAAGACATGAAGTGGTCACGTGGAAAGAATTAATCAAACTATAATATCAATAAATTTCAAAAGAATGAAGAAAAACCATAAAGGCATTTCTCTAAAAATAAAAACTTAATGATAATACCAAACAAAGCTTACAAAATGAACGAAACTAGCAAGTTTTTTTCTTCAAACAAGACATGAAGTGGTCAAGTGCAGTGAATTAATCAAACAACAAAATCAAAAACTTTCAACAAAATGAACAAAGCCCATCAAGAAAATTTTCCAAATATAAAGACTTTAATACTAAAACCAAACAAAGCTCACAAAATGAAAGGAACCCAACAAGCATTTTGCTTCGGATAAGACATAAAGTGATGAAATGCAGTGAATTAAACAAAAAAGAATATAAAAAATTTAACATAATGAAGACAACCCATCAAGAGAATTCTCTAAAGATAATCACTTTAATACTAAAACCAACAAAGCTCACGAATTGAAAGGAACCAAGCAAGGTTTTTGCTTCAAAGAAGCCACAAAGAGGTAAATTAACGAAACAAGAAAAAAATAAAAATAAAAATAAATGAACACAAACCTAACTCCCTAAAAAAGATAGCTTTAATTATAACACCAAACAAAGCGTAAGGATTTTGTTTCAGCCAAGACATAAACTGATCAATTGTAATGAATTAATCAAACAATTTCCCAAAAAAAAGAAACAACCCATCTAGAGAATTCTCTTAAAACAACTTTAACTCTAAAACATAACAAAGCTCAAGGATTTTGATTAAAACAAGACAATAAGTGATAAAATGTGTCGAATTAATCAAACAATAATATCAAAAAATTTAAATAAAAGCACCACAACCCATCAAGAGAATTCTCTAAAAATCACAACTTTAATGGTTAAACCAAACAAAGCTCACTAATTCAAAAGAACCCATCAAGGGTTTCGTTTATTTTGCTCGTTTGTGTACTTCCAACAAGACCAACGCTAACACCAATGCTGCAGCCAATGCCGGCGCAGAAAGCAGGACCCATTTTGGCAAGGTCCTTGAGCTTAATTTGAGGAACTGTTCATCTCTTTCATCTTCTTCAAGTTAACAAGCAAAGAGACGAACTTGATGTTGATATGGATCTTTCTACTCGATTTCAAAAAACAAAAACAAACCCACTATACAAAATAACATTACTTGAAGCCAAAACAAAACTCAAACCCAGATATACAAATTTCTACTCATATTAACCCAGAAAAACCAAACCTTAACGGTTCACAACAGTAAAAATCCAATTTTTAAACCAAATACAACAAACCCTTATATAATAACCATTATTATGAGAAATCCTGAAGCAATGGTACAAAATAATGAACTGATAGAACAAAAAACACAAATAAAAACAAAACCCTAAAAATAATGATTTGTTTTGAAATTAAATCCAATTTTTTCCCCAAAAAATAAAGAAAATAAAAGAAGGAAACCTGGCCTTTGACTTTGAGGTTTATGTGGGCCGATTGATTGTTGGGCTTTTTGTCTTCCTCTTGTGGTGGATTGCTAACGCCTGACATCTTCTGTTCTTTTGCATTCTGCACAACCTTCCCATCATCCTTTTATACTAGTTTTGGAAAATTCTGTTTGCTCCCTACTTGAATGAAAAGTAACAAGGTAAACCCCAAATAATATAACATTTGACCCCTAAACAATGTAAAGGAAACAAAATCAACCTCATTTTGTGGTGGCGGGAATTCTATGTTTTTTCCCTGTAAATAATTGGGTATATGATAACATTTTTAAAATGTTATTGTATTTTGATTATATGGTAACATTAGAAAAAAAGCTATTATTGGGCTATTGTAACACATTAAAAATGCTATTGCAAATATATATTAATGACATTTAAAAAAAAAAAAGAGTTACCATTGATATATAATGTGTTATAAAAAGTTGAAGAAAACTTTTACCATACCATTTTAACATCAAGTGTTACCATAGATAGTCTACAGTAACACTTTCGGAAAGTGCATTTTTTCTTTAATTTTAGAAAATAAAAAATAAAATAAAAGTAATAATTTAACAACAGATTAGGAATTAAAATTTGGGGAAAAATATTTACAATGGATTGAAATGTGTTGCTACGATTTTACAAACATATATTTTTTTTTCATTGCTGATCTGTTGGTAATTTGTTTTAGAACAGATTTCTTTGATCTAGCTAGATATAGCAAAACCTGACCCTCCCCTGATCAGCCCCCGATCCCGACCAAATTTCCTAGCCCCTGACCTTGTACCCAATCCTATGCATTAATGAGTTTTTTTTTTTTAATCACATATATGTTATTACTAAAAACTTGAAAGGAATGACAAATACTCGTAGGTATATTAATTATGTTTTTTTAAAAAAAATTTGTCACAAAATATCACATTTAATTTGACTCAAATATTTTGTCACTAATACCTATATTTTAACATTTTCAAATGATAATTTTTTTTGCAATGATAAATAATTCTTTTGTGACAAATTAGTTTGTAATTATAGCATGTATTACTATATATATTGATTAAAGTTTTTTATGACAAATATATTTGTCACGATAAACAATTTATCTCGGCGCTTAAATTTTGACTCAAACATTTTGTCATTAATACCTCTATTTTAGCATATATTATGACAATTTTTTTTTGTAATAATAAATAAATTCTTTTGTAACAAAAAAATTTGTATTTATAACATGTATAACTAAATATAGTGATTAAAATATTTGATGACAAAATATGTCTGTCACAATAAACAATTTACTTAGACGCCAAAATTTGGCGCCAAATATTTGTGACGAAATATTATCATAAAAATGTTTTTCTTCACTACATTTATTATGGGTTTCTTTATTGTGATGAAATATTATGACCATATTTTTTTTAGTCACTATATATTCTCTTTATCATACTTAATGTGATGTTTCTTTATTTTGTCATAATACCTATATTACTCGTGACAAAATAACATTTGACAAAATTAATTTTGTCACAATATAATATATTTCTTGTAGTATCTGCTAGTTGACCTTTTGTCATCAGGATTACTACCCCAATCTGCATCAGCATAACACTCAACATGGAGAGAGCTTGCTGGCTTGAATTGCAACCCAAAATCAAGAGTTCTTTTGATATATCTTAGGACTCTTTTGCAAGCCTGCCATTGGAGGGCTGTAGGAGCTTGTAAAAATTGACTAAGCTTGTTTACGACAAAGCTTATATCAGGTCTTGTGAGTGCCAAATATTGGAGAGCACCTATTGTTCTTTTATACAATGTAGTTAGCTCAAGAGGTTGACTATCTTCAGTACATAACCTGGTACCAACAGCCATGGGAGTGGCACATGCATGAGCTTCTAACATTTGAGTTTTAACAAGTAAATCAGTGGCATACTTGGTTTGCTTGAGATGAAGACCAACAGATGATCTAGTAGCTTCAAGACCCAATAAATACTTCACAGAAGCCAAGGTTTTGAGTGCAAATTCTTCATTAAGATCCTTCATCAAGTGAGAGATGTAAGAAGGATCGGAGAATGTAATAAGAATATCGTCTACATATACAAGCACATAAGTAATACTAGAATATTGTTTAAAAATAAAGAGACTAGAGTCCTAAATAGAATTCTGGAAGCCCTTGAGTTGAAGGGCAGTTTTGAGCTTGTCGAACCAGGCTCTAGGAGTTTGTTTTAAGCCATATAGTGCTTTGTTTAGTTTGCAAACAAAGGAAGGCTGATCTGAAGCTTCAAAGCCAATAGGTTGTCTCAATACACGGTCTCATTAAGCACACCATTGAGGAATGCATTATTCACACCAATTTGTTAGATATCCCAAGAGTTGGACATAGCTAGAGTAAGGATGATTCTAATGGTGCATGGCTTGATAACCGAACTAAATGTTTTAAAGTAATCAAGTCTAGGAGTTTGATTAAAGCCTTTTGCCACTAACCTGGCTTTGTACTTGTGTAGGGAACCATCAGCATTAAATTTGGTTCTAAAAACCCATTTGTTTCTAACAATATTAATATCAAGAGCAGATGGAACAAGAGTCCAAGTGTTATTTCGAACAAGAGCTTCAAACCCCACTTGCATGGCTGTCTTTTAGGCAGGATTAGAAAGAGCTTTAGCCACAGATAAAGGTTCAGACTCAACAATAGGCTGACTTGTAGTGAGATAGGTTGTATGTGGTAAAGTTTCAAAATTGTCTTGAACTACAGCAGGGGCTGAATCTGACAAACCAGCCACTATTTTTGCTCTTGTAATCATGGGATGGACATTCTGAGCAAAGGAATGCAATGACTTTGAACTAGTAGTGGGCAATGTTTCTGAGCTAGCAGGAAACTGCGATGACGATAGATCAACCTCAAGTTGGCGAGCGGGAAGAGCACATCCAGGTGGAAGAATAGGTAAAGAAGAAACTGGCTGAGGGGTGGAGTTAGTGGCGGAGGTGTCTTGTGAAGAAGGCAATGGACAAGCTGAATTGGTAATTTCATAAGCTAAGTCTGAAGCAGTAGAATGGTGAGCTAAGTTATAGTTAGAAGAAGGTGATTTAGGTGCTAAGTTTGAAGCGTGTGTATGTGATTGAGGGGCTAAATCTGAACAGTGTGTAGGTGTTTGAGAGGCTAAGTTTGAATCAGAAGCAGGTGATTTGGTTGCCAAGTCTGAAGGGCAAGGAGGTGTTGTAAGACCCACAGAAGAGTGAATACTAAGTGTTGAATCATTAAAGACATTTTTACCTAAAGGTCTTGTTTCTACATGGGATCTAAGAGCTACCGGAATAGAGGATATGTGAGGAAGAATGAGAGAAGGAAAAGAAGATGCACTGGGACCATTATCATCAACAAACTTACTAGTGGAAGGGCTAACATTGGATTGAAGAAATTGATTTTGAAAGTAAGGAAATTCAGTTTCATGAAACTTCACACTAGGGGTAATGAAAATTTTACCATCATTCCTCAAACACTTGTACCCCTTATGGACTAAGCTGTACCCTATAAACACACACTTAGAGGAGTGAAAGCTGAACTTGTGGGTACTAAAATTTCTGAGGTAAGGGAAACAAGAACAATCAAACACTTTAAGACGCTCATAAGAGGGTTGTTTTCGAAACAATTTGTAATAAAGAGTGTCATGTTTTAAAACTTCAGTAGGCATCATATTAATTAAAAAAGCTATAGTCTCAAAGGCACACCACCAATAATTCAAGGGCATATATGCATGAGCAAGCAAGGTGATCCGGTTTTTACAATGTGCCTATGTTTCCTTTCAATACGACCATTTTGTTGGTGAACATAAGCACAAGAATGCCTAAACTGAATTCATGTTTTAATTATATAAGATAAGTCAGCTTTGTACTCTTCACCTTGATCAGATTGAAGACACTTCAATTTGATAACAAATTGCCTTTCAGCAAGATGATGAAATTTAATAAAACTAGACTTGACTTCAGCTTTTGTTTCCAAAGGAAAAACCCAAGTAAATCTACTATAATCATCTAAAAATTGAAGATAATACCTAAAACCTTCTACAGAAGTCATAGGGCAGGACCCCAAACATCACTATGAATTAATTCTAGAGGTTCAAGTGCATGAGATTGAGAGAGAAGGGACCTATTCTGATGCATTTTTCCTAATTGACACGCATTGGAAAAAGAAATTTCAGAATGTGAAAGGTGTGAAGAGTGTGATGATGAGGGGGGTTTGTTAAGGCATGAAAGGATTTTTTGAAGTGTGGAGAAGTTAGGATGACCCAACCTCTCGTGCCAGACCATGTAAGAGTTTGTTTGTTTGTTAATAGCAAAGCAACTTGATGTGGACATATTAGAGTAATTAATAATGTCAGAGTGGCACACAGAATGATCAGAAGCAAGTGTAGGAACTTTGGGCACACTAGGATGCATAGAATCAGTAGAAATAGTTGCATCAGAAGGAGAATTATTTACATCAATAGAGCACATAGAAGTAACACAATAAGGTACATCAGTAGGCATACCAATGGGCATGTAATCAATAGGAATGCATGTGGTAGAAGTAGGATGGTTTCTAGTATCAACATCAGTAGTATTATTAGAACAAGTGTCATTGAACATAGCGGGTTTATGCATGGTGGTAATACATTTATAATACGTAGAAGAAAAATTGGAAACATCACAAGAAGATAGACAACTGGTCTTATTATTATTAAGTAAGGAAATACAAGACGAATTACATGGTAAAACATCTTTATTAGGACTATTATGTTGACCAGTACTTGTAGGAATTAAAGACTCTTTACATGGTGATATAGAGTCTGAATTGTGGTCAGACTTTACATGATAAATGGATCTAGCAGGTGAGCTAAGCTGTGAGTTCTCTGAAGAGTGAAAAAACTATACAGGAGCAACATAGTTATCTGGTGAGCAAGAGGCAGTTGACTAATTGGAGT